TTTGTTTTCTTCCAGATTTTTTCACCTGCTGAAGGTCCTGCAAAGGGAAATAATAAGCAAAGTTCCTAAGTAGTAGTTAAGAAAAAAATCAGTTTTGAATATTTATGAAAAGGTATACTCACATATATTTCCATTTTTCTGTATAAGCCATAATTTAACAGCAAGTTATGGGTCATGCGGATTCTATGAGGTTTCATAGGATGACCCTGTCCATAATAGTAATTTCCAATATCACCTAAAATAGAAAAGACACAAACTAAACAATACGCATAAGAGAATCTTCATAAACTATCTGAATTTAGGTATGTCTATCATTAGAAGGTATTTACCAATTAATAAGATTTATTAAAACCTTAAATTATAATTTTAGATTTTGCAACTTTCAAACTACAGTAGAAAACCAATGTACTATGCACACTTTTACATGCTGAAGACTCCATTATTACATTACGTTCACTTGTAGATTAGGAAAGCAAGCTTTTCTGATTTTTGGTTCCCCCAAATATTTTGAGTTTCTGTTCTTTAAAGCACTAGTTGCTTTTAGTATTCTCTGATAAATTTAGATGCTTAAGTTCAGTTTTCTGGGTTTTACTGGCATAATTTAAAATTTTTTCAGCATCTCAGAAATCCCTATAGTTGTTATCATAAGCGTTAAAAATGTTCTGTGTCCATCTTACAGTCTGTCAGGCAAATTTTGATAACTAAAATTTAGTTCCTAAATAAAGTTTTGCTCTGTTATGACGTATCCATGACATTTTTCAAGGTAATAAGAATACTGTCTCATTCTTCATGACTAAAAAGTTATGATTCCTAGCCTGCCTTTTTAAATGGGACCTTATATCCCCATGTTTTAAAACTTACTCATAAAATTTATTTAAAAATAAGCAAATAACACCAATATCATAGATTTTCATCTATCAAATTTCAATTAAATTAATACTTTTAGGTAAAGCTTCAATGTTTCTTATAATAAAACATGATGATAAGAAAGTCTCTTAAATATATAAAAGTTGGCCCTCTATCTGTAGATTCAACCAATCATTAACTGAAACTAATTTTTAAAAAATGGATGGTAGTGTCTGTACTGAACATGTACGGACCTCTTTTCTTGTCATTATTCCCTAATCAATACAGTGTAACATAACTACTTACATAGCATTTACACTGTATTAATATTAGGTATTACAAGTAATCTAGAGATGATTTAAAGTACAAGGGAGGATGTACATAGGTTATATACAAATATTACACCATTTTACTTAAGAAACTTGAGCATTCTGGATTCTGGTATCTGTGTAGGGTCCTGGAACCAATCCCCCACAGACACTAAGAGAAGACTTAACTGGTTTTCTAATGTAACATGTACTTTTACAATAGCTTTTGTTGAATTAGAAATTAATTTTAATAACTATTCTAATGATTAAATAAACAGTCCCCAAATTTTGTTAGGACTGCCAAGCTGATTTTAACGGCTTGAAGTCTATCATTTCAACATAGGTTTATATATAAAAGCTAGGATTAAGAATGCCATTTACCTACTTTCGGAATAATAAATCTTTCAAAATCCTCCCTAAATACATGCCTTTTAAAAAATTGTTTGTCTGATGGAAACCAAGAACTCCAAAATCTTTGTTCTCTCTTCCACATATTTGATAACAGTCCAGGATGAACCTTTCAACTTTTATAAAATCCATGCTTCCAATATTACAAATACTAGAGTTTGTTCGTACCATATCTCTAATTTATTTAATTCCATTTTCATCACAAGCTCTCCTCAGAAAATAATTTGTATATACACGATCATTTAAAGGGGAGGCCACTTTATTTATTTTTTAAATTTGTTTTTTTTTTTTTTAAAGAGACAGAGTCTCGCTCTGCTGTTCAGGCTGGAAGTGTAGTAGTGCAAGCACAGCTTACTGCAACCTTGAACTCTTGGGCTCAAGCAATCCTCCTGGCTCAGCCTCCTGAATATCTGGGTCTCCAAAAGTGTGGACCACCATGCCCAGCTAATTATTTCTTTTTTTTTTTGTAGAGATGGGTTTTACTATGCTATGTTGCCCCTGTTGGTGTTCAACTCCTGGGCTCAAAAGATCATCCCACTAAGACCTCCCTCCCAAGTGCTGGGCTTACAGGCCACCATGCTATGCCCCTAGGCCACTTTTTTAATGCAGGTACCAACAACAGAGCTATGAAAGAATATAGACAAGTAGTAAATCAGGCCCCATGAGAAGACAGTCCTCTGGAGGTAACACAATTGAAAGGCTATGAATGCAGAAAATAAACTGTCAGGAAAGGATCTGCCATAAAGCTCTACCCTACAGGGTGGCGGTACACAAAGTTCCTTGAAAGCAATCTGGTTTCACCGAATTCTTAGGTATGGAAAACTCACTAGTGTTACAAAGCATCATGTACCTAAGTTAATGCAAGGAATAGTATTTCTAGGGTATCATCACTACCAAAGAGATCATTAAAGTAAAAATAAACTCTAGTCTTCACATAACTCCCATTTGCCTCTGTGTAAGAATTACCAAGATGAAACATCTCTTAACATTTAGCACATTACAAGATCAAATACTCTGGATGTGGACCTACTGAGAATCCAATGCGAAGCTCCAGCCCCCAATAATCTATAGAAAGGAAACTACGCTGGCAACTTCTCAGCAAGTGTAATTGAAAAAAATGATAGCAGTAAATATCATTTCCTGAGTGCTTACTAGAAGGCACTATTCTAAGCACTTCACATGTATTACCTTTTAATCTTTTCAACAACCCTATGACAGGTATTATTACTATTATTCCTATTTTATAATAGGGTAGAAGGGTAAAACACTGACAAGTCGGGTAATGTTGCCAAAGTCACACAGCTAGCAAGTGCAGGAGCTAGATTCAAACTCAGGCAGAACAGCTCACAGCCAATGCTCTTAAGTAGTACTTTTGGGAGAACCAAGGGCACTTACAGTCTATAGGGTGAAGGCTGACAAGAAAAGAACATAATACGGAATGAAAATACTTTAATAAAAGTTTAGAGACTTTGTTAATTCAAAGAAAATGAACACAAGAAACTACCTACCTAGTTTATCAAAGTAATTTATTTTTTTACTAATAGGGTCTTCAAATTTTATATGAATATCCATAGCTTTCAACGAGTTTGTCTGCCACAATTTAGGGGCCCCAGTCCCGCCAAAAATATACATACAACCTAAATGATACGTGTCTACAAGGACATCCAAGCTACAGATAATTACTTTACAAGAATTGTTCCAAAATATGAGTGTTACAAAAAACCATTTCCAACTTTTTCCCAACTTAACTCTGTATCTCACAATTCCCTAGATGGCTACTTTGTAGGCAACCACTTTTTAATAAAGACAAAATATCTTTTCTTAGTTTTAAGAACCTATGGTTTTCATTCATCTCATTTAAATGGTCAGTAATATAATTTGGGCATTTTAAATGTTATCCCAATTTTCATCAAAATACAGGTTGATTACCCCAATCTGAAAATTTGTAATCTGCCATGCTCCAGAATCCGAAATCTTTTGAACATCCTCTTCATAATCAAAGGAAATGTTCATCAGAGCACGCCAGATTTCGGATTTTCAAGTAAGGGATGCACAACTGTTAAGTATTATTGCAAATATCCCCAAAAGCAAAAAAAAATCTGAAATCTGAACTACTTCTAGTCCCACGCATTTCGGGAAAGGAATAATCAACTGTATGTAAAAATACTTTACCAATAAAGCAAACACCTTGAAAATCAGCTCAAAGGTGTATTGAACACAACAGACTTTATCAATGTGAAGAAATTACCATAAAGATTTATCTGCAAAATTTTAGAAGTTGTTCACTCTTCAAGAAGCTATCAGAATGGAAGTGGTTAGTAAGGTCCCCAATCTTTTATTTATTCACAGTCCTCAGAACTAGATATGTTTCAAATATTAGACCACTTCAGATTTTGTAAAGGTACTATGGCACATCTGCTACATATTATATTATGTAATATCAGAGAGTCTGGGCAGCATGCTATAATCAAACATTACTTCTGCAGCAAAAAAATATGTGAATATTCACAATAAGTGGAATAAAGATCATAAACAGGCTGAACGCAGTGGCTCACGCCTGTAATCCTAGCACTCTGGAAGGCCAAAGCGGGAGAATTGCTTGAGTTCAGGAGTTTCAGACCAGCCTGAGCAGGAGTGAGACCCTATCTCTACCAAAAATAGAAAAATTAGCCAGGCGTCCTGGGGCTGAGGCAGGAGGACTGCTTGAGCCCAGGAGTTTGAGGCTGCAGTGAGCTATGATGCCCCTGCACTCTACTTGGATGACAGAGAGAGACTCTGCTTCAAAAAAAGATCATGAACAGTCTCCTATTATTTAGGTTAAGCTTTTGATGCCAAATGAATTACAAAACATTTTCGATTTTCAGATCATTTTGGATTTCAGGACTGTGAAATGTGCCCTTACCCCTAAAGATAGGCTGACTGGAAAAAACAAGAAATAAGAAAAAAGCACAAAAAAGCTACTACATTATTTCTATCTTCCAGACTACTTAGCCCTAGTAGCTTTTTGCACAACTATTCACTACTCTTCCTTGAAATATTCTGAATCCTGGCTTCCATACAATTTTCTTGGATTTTACTCCTACCCCAAGGACAATCCTCTGCCAACTTTTAAATATTGGGGTTTTTAAATGAAATTCATCCATTCATTTAACAAATCAAGAGCCTACCTACCATGTGCCAGGCAGGCAATGCTCTAGGTACTTGGATGTATCAGTGAATGATAATTCTGCCCTAAATGCTCTTCTCTCAGGAATAAGTCCTGGATCTTGTTATCTACCTATGCTGTCTCTTTTTCAGTCTCAGTACTTTACCACCTATATGCTGACAAATCCCAAATTTCTATGTCTAGTCTCTCCACCCTGGGTTCCAAACTCAGAGTCTCTTCTCAGTCTTTTCATTTGAATTCAAAAAGGATCTTAAACATAAGATGTTCCAAACAGAGCTCTTGGTTAATCTTCCCAAACTCAGTGAGTGGTACTATATATACCTCATCTAACTGCTAAATCCAGAAACTTAGCAGTTGTCCTTTCTTCTCTACCACCACTCCTCCAATCTCAACTCCATTTCCAATCCACCAATAAGTTCCATTGGTTTTACTCCCCAAATCTCTCTTAAATGTGTCCATTTCTATCTAAAATGCAATCGCTACATTTTACGGACAAATATGCATTCA